AACGAATTTTTTCTTATGAAATTAGATTCTCTTTATGAGGAGAATCATAGACGCCGGAGTATTTTCTTTCTGAAGTACAGAGTGGCATTTTCTGCAATATTGCTTATTACATCTGGATAGCTATATAATTATCAGAAATTATAGTTCTTTGTGGTGTTTGTAGTATACTAAAAGTATGAGAAAGACCTGTGACAATACACATTCTTCTGGGTCACAGGTTGGTGTGCCCGGTATCATCCTGCGTTGCTTGGAGCATCTTGGCCTGAAAGATTCTGGAAAACCAGTTGCCTTTATTGCTAAAATGATAGGTCATAGACCACTTGCTATCCAGTTTGTGGGCAAGGGCTTGCTACATCCAAACAGGATGAGAATATTACTCAGTGCGTCAAGTCCAAAAGAGGTTATACTGGATGTTTTGATGATATTATCTGATTTAGCGAGGATGGATAAGGTCAGCCTCTGATTCCTTATCGTTTAATTGCTGCAAGTTCACTTGGAATTTGAACATGGATTTCATCATTGTGGTTATCTTGTCGTTACATGCAAAATTTAATGCTAGGGGTTGACTCTGCTGCCACAAGGAAATCTTGATGCTCGCTTTTGCACCTATATCATAACTTGTCCACGTGCTAGAATTAGTTGCTCTGCACAAGCACACAGAATTGCCTTTGTACATTAGCATGTCATTAGATGATACATCTATGTATGCTTAGGGATCAATTCGCTGCAGAAATGCCTGATGCCTGCTTGGTTCTTCCCCCAGGTGCCAGTTCCAGCATAAAAAGTCCACGTATCTCTAAGTTGGCTGTTTTAATTTATTCTGCTTTCTGTCTCTCTCAGTGATAAACATTGTTTTAGTCCTGATCTAAAGATGTGTGATCGTGCCTCTTTTATTTTCTGGCTTAGCAATTTTTGCATTAGTCCTTTGGGCTGGGAATTTCTCCAGATACATGTTAATTGTCAGAGTGTAAGGAAAAATATATTACCTGGGGCAACCTATGCTAGTGGATTAGGTTGGTGCCACATTTGATTATTTAGGAGGGTGAAGACAGTATAGAAGTTCAATGATTGAATTAAACCCGACCCGGTAGTTGCAAGAGTACAACAAACTTAAACTCTATATATGATCCTTATCTGGACTTTAGTGTCAAGAGTTGTCATTGTCATCCTGAAAAATGTCAATCAATCGCAATTCTGTCTCAAGTCATGCTCATTCTTCCTTGTGTCTTCCAAGACACTTCCATCTACACCATATGCTCAAATATTATTGCTCTTGTAGTAGATTTAACTGCAGTTTTGCATACTCTAGTTTTCTTCCCACGCAAATACTCTTTGATAATATCTAGCCATAAAGAAAGTGCAATTCTGTATTTATGATGGAGCAAGGGTTCTGTTTGGTTGGAAGAAATAGCCTTAGATTGGAATGCCCTTCTGTGTCTGATTCGTTTTGCTTGGCATCACCATAGGAACCGAAGCATGGGCAGTCACCCAATAGATAGTGATAAATATTTCATTTCTAAGCATAATCCTATTATTCGCTTAGTTACAATTTATTTTGAGGACACGTTTGACTTCTCAATACTATTTTCACTCTATTCAAAATTTTAATTTGTCTAACATAACATAAGAAAGAAGAACGATCAATTCATTACTACATGGTTCTTTTCTCACAAATATAGAGCACTAGTTTATGTGCTACAATCATATTGATCTGGGTCACCTTTCCACAACCGAGACTTTGCAGGCTTTCTATGAGTACATCAATGGAGCTGCTATCCTGGAAACTATGAAGGAATTTCTTATCCATGAAGATTCAAATATTCGTGCAAAGGCTTGTTGTGCTCTCGGTAACATGTGTCGCCACAGTGCCTACTTTTATAATGTGCTAGTAAGTAGTGTCTTTTGGGTGGTTTATGATGAACTAACAAATAAGATCTTGTTTTCTCTGACTTCTGTACAAGTTTCTCTCTGTGAGCTCTTAAAGCATTGTCAACTGAATCACTGCTCGGTATCTTTGAGCAGGCAAAACACCATATAGTTGATCTCCTCATTGACCGCTGCTCCGATCCAGACAGAAAAGCAAGAAAATTTGCTTGCTTTGCTGTAAGAAAATTTGCTTGCTTTGTCAAACACTTAATCTGCTCGCCCCACTGATTGTTTTTAAATGTTCTCCTTCTAGATTGGAAATGCAGCATATCACAATGATACGTTGTATGAAGAGCTCAGGAGGTCCATACCTCAGCTTGCAGCTGTGTTGCTTTCAACAGATGAGGACAAGACCAAAGCAAATGCTGCTGGGGCCTTAAGCAACCTCGTTCGTAACTCAAACAAACTATGTGAAGACATAGTGGATAAGGGAGCCATGCAGGTATGCGCCTCCTTTGCTTCTATTGGCATGAATATTGATGAAACAATGAAGCAGAAGATTTCTTCCAGTACTACAGTTGTCTACTAGTCATTGTGGAAATATTTCGAAAAAACCTACTTCTCTACTATTCGGTTTTGTTCTATCCGCTATGGCTTGACATGGATAGAAATAACAAAAGCATTATCTGGATCCGGTGCCATTAATAGAAAGCTGTTCTCTGCTGCCCAGCAACATCTGTTCGCTTATTTTGATATAATGCAATGAAGTGAAGAATTAGCATAGAACCATTGTGTAGTCCTTTACTGTTGCTGTACGACAATGTTTCCTGAGCAAATAGAACTCTTAATACTGTTTTCCGTACTGTAGGCTTTGCTGAAGTTGGTGGCCGACTGCTCAGCTGTGGCCCTGAATCCAAGTAGAAAAGATGCGGTCAACGAGTCGCCTTTAAAAATAGCTCTCTTCTCACTAGCGAAGATGTGTGCGCACCTGCCGTGCAGACAACATCTCGTTTCTTCGGAGCTTTTCCCAGTAATTGGAAGGCTACGCCAATCGCCAGAATCCACGATTGCCACTTATGCATCCAATATCATGAGCAAAGTTGCCAACGCTTGAAACTTCAAGCTACAATGATAATAGCTGAGAGATGCTCTCCTCTGAACATAATGATTTTGTCCTTCTCTCTTTCTTTCTCTGAAGTCATTTTGGCAGTTTTGAGGGAGGGTGGGATTTAGGGTGGTTGCTAAGTCAGCAACACCAACCTGTTACTGACATGTACTACGTTTGTGACATTATTCCTTATGTATATAAGCTTCGTCGTTCGTATCCTATCTCCTCCACATCGTCTTTGCTTCGGTGTTCTTTTCTCTATCTCTTCAAGGACTGTAAGGAGGAAATGTATGTTGGATTGAAAAGTCAGTCAATTTGCAAGTGAATTAATTTTGGGACACCCCAAATCTCCGATGACTTTTCGATCGTTCAAATCAAATTTTCCCAGAGCTAGTCTCCTTGCACTTCTCATTATGTAAAGATTGAAACAATTACATTTGATTCGATCTCTGCTTAAATTGACTTATTATTAGTTAACTTCATAGTCCAACTTTATAATTCTTTCACAGAATGACAGCGCATGAGCTTATAAAATTGCATTTGATCGTTGAGAACTTAGAATTCTTTGTTGGAGTCATATAGCATCCTCCTCCTTAATAAGGTAGCGGAGAATAAGATTTTTTTTTTCCAGAAGAATTATTTATTTTGATAGCAAGCACTTCTTGAAAAAAGGACTATCAAAGATGGACAAAGCATTTAAAATGATTAAGGAGGCACCGAAATGAAACTTCTCATATAAATTCGAAACAATTTTTTTTTTCTTCAAAGAGTTTATAAATTGATCATGATAACATGCTCAATATTTTAACCGTAAAGAATCAACAGACATCATCGAATCGAGTTCTTGCAATCTTTACCGGTGCTTAAGCAAAAAAGAAAAAGGAAAAATTTCAAAAAGAAGCCTGAAGTTGAGTAATTTTCTCAAATAAGGGCTTGAAGTGGACAAATCGTCTCAAATAAGAGCGTGAAGTGGCCAAATTGTCTCAAAAAAGGACCGTTGGCCGGCCGGTGACTATTCCGTCGCTGGAGAAGGAGTATTTTAGTAAAAAACTTTATAAGTATATATTTTTATTTTTTTTTTACTTTCTTTTTCTTTTCTTTTTCCTTGTTTCTTCTTCCCTCCCAGCCTTCATTGCGCCTGGTCGGCGACCTTCGCCAAGGCCACCCTTGTCGGCGTTGGGCGAGGGCTGCCCTCGCCTGGGCTAGCGAGGGTCGCCCTCGCCAGATCTTGCGAGGGCGACTCTCACCCTGGCCTAGCCTCGCCAGCCCAGGTGATGGCGATTCTTGCCGGCGTCGGGTAAGGGTTGCCTCGCCTGGGCTGGCCTTGCCCTTGCTCGATGCCGGCGAGGGCGACCCTCGCCTGGTAGGTGAGGTGGCCTCTGCTTGAGGCCAGCGAAGGGTGATGGTCAGCGGAGGGAAGAGAGGAAAAAAAATAAAGAAAAGGAAAAGGAAATGAAAAAACAGAAAAAGGAAACAAAATTCAAAAAATTAAAATACGAAAATACCTTTTGACCGATAAGGTAAGGTCTTTATTTGAGACTTATATGGCCACTTCAGGCACTTATTTGAGAAAATAAGTCCACTTCGGACTCCTTTTGGGAATTTTCCCAAAGAAAAATTAAAAGAGCAAACTCCATTTAATGGAAGACTATTTTTTTCGTTTGGCCTGGTTCTGCTTCAATTGCTTGTTTGTAGAGAGTAAATACTTAACTTTCAGGGGGTAAATAAAATAAAGCTCAGCGAACCAGGGGGGACAAATACAAATATCATGAAAGAAGGGGGGAGGGCAATTTCGTCAATTGAACTACTCAACGGCTATTTGGAAATGTAGCCGTTGGAAGCGGCGTCCCGAAGGGCCTCGACACGCCTCCTGGATTTGGAGGAGAGGATCGGGAGGAAGGGAGCAAAAACCCTAGTTCGTCTTCTTCTTCTTCTTCCACCGATCAGATCCGTATATAGACCCCCCCCTTCATCTGCCCTCACAATAATTCACCAATACTCATCTCTCTCTCTCTCTCTCTCTCTCTCTCTCTCTCTCTCTCTCTCTCTCTCTCTGTGGGTGCGTGCCTGCGAAGATCAGCTCTCCGCGGGCGCTTGAATTGTGAAGCTGCAGGCTGCTGGGGGGGAGGAAACTCTGCTCGAGGAAAACTCTAGTTTCCATTCGTCTGCTTCTTCTACGGCTCTTGCGAAAGATTTCTACATCCGCGCGTTCCTTTTACTTAAAAGATCTGATTTTTTTTTGTCTCGAATCACCCCCACCTTGTTTGTGTTGCAGGGTCCTTTTTATTTTGTGTTGTGAGAGGTTTCTCGCTCCGTTCGCAAGAACTTTCCCTTCGCTCCCCCTCCCCCCCCCCCCCCAATTACGTAATTCGAATATAACCGGATTCTCGCTTTCGATTTTCTTACCCGTTATTTTCTGTATATTACCTTTCTTGTGCTTCCCTTTTTTTGTTGGTGTTTGTGTAGTATGGATGCGGGATCATCTGCGCACTCTTCATCGAACATGAAGACGCAATCTCGCTGCCCGCTTCAAGAACAGTTTCTGCAGAGGAGGAATTCTCGAGAAAACGTAAGGAAGAAGAAAATCTCACTCTTCTTCATGTGCACATATAATCAATCATATGGTTGAATGTTATTTCGAGGTTCTTGTGTGTCGGTGTATTGGATTGGGCGTTGGGGTAGTCAATTTTAAGAACGAGCCCTAATCTTTTCATTATTAGTCTTCTACATATATGATCGGGAATCGCTGACTAAAGTTTTGTCCGTTCATTGTTTGACACCAGCTGGACAGATTTATACCGAATCGGTCGGCCATGGATTTCGATTATGCGCACTACATGCTGACCGAAGGCAGGAAGGGGAAGGAGAATCCGGCGGTGAGTTCTCCGTCGAGAGAGGCCTACCGGAAGCAACTGGCGGAAACGCTCAACATGAACCGGACTCGAATCCTCGCTTTCAAGAACAAACCCCCAACCCCCGTGGAGTTGATTCCGCACGAATTCACTTCTGCTCAGCCTGCCAAGCCAACGAAACCCCGCCGATACATTCCTCAGGTAAGAATACTTTTCTTTCTTTCCATTATCTCTCTTATCTGTTTCTCATTGAGGGTGGCCCTCAAGCTTAACATTGTTGATCTCATTAACAGACCTCAGAGAGGACACTGGATGCTCCTGACCTTGTGGACGACTACTACCTGAACTTGTTGGACTGGGGAAGCAGCAATAAACTTTCAATTGCCCTGGGGAGTACAGTTTATATCTGGAATGCTTCAGATGGCTCTACCTCAGAACTCGTCACCATCGACGACGAAAGCGGCCCAGTTACCAGTGTCAGCTGGGCCCCAGATGGTCGCCACATTGCTGTCGGCTTGAACAATTCTGAAGTACAGCTATGGGATTCTGCTGATAATAGACTGGTCAGTGTTTTTCTCACTAAGAAATTTTTTTTTGTATAATCATCTCATGAAACCTGCCTGACAAGGTGTGGTCCCAATTTGGTTGAATTTCGTTGCAGCTAAGGACTTTGAGAGGTGGCCACAGATCTCGGGTAGGGTCTCTGGCATGGAACAATCACATCCTTACAACAGGAGGAATGGATGGACAGATCGTCAACAATGATGTGAGAGTGAGATCTCACATTGTTGAGACCTACAGGGGTCACACCCAGGAGGTTTGTGGGTTGAAATGGTCAGCATCAGGACAGCAATTGGCTAGTGGAGGGAATGATAACATCCTCCACATTTGGGACAGGTCCGTGGCATCTTCCAATTCACCCACCCAGTGGCTTCACCGGTTGGAAGAGCACACAGCTGCTGTTAAAGCCCTCGCCTGGTGTCCCTTCCAGGGGAATTTGCTGGCTTCCGGTGGAGGTGGTGGTGATCGGTCCATAAAGTTTTGGAACACCCACACGGGTGCGTGCTTGAACTCTGTGGATACCGGTTCCCAGGTCTGTTCTCTGCTATGGAACAAGAATGAGAGAGAGTTGCTTAGCTCTCATGGATTCACTCAGAATCAGCTCACCCTCTGGAAGTACCCTTCGATGGTAAAGATTGCAGAGCTGACTGGTCATACTTCCAGAGTGCTTTTCATGGCCCAGGTACTATGCAAATTCGACTTTCTGGCTCATAGAAATTGCATTTATGCATTCACTACTTTCTGATAAGATTTTAGATCCTCAAGTAGTAACATTGTCTCTTTCTCCTGTCAGAGTCCGGATGGTTGCACTGTAGCATCGGCAGCAGGGGATGAAACACTGAGGTTTTGGAATGTGTTTGGTGTTCCGGAAGTGGCTAAACCAGCTCCAAAAGCTAATCCGGAGCCTTTTGCTCACTTGAATCGCATTCGCTGAATGAAAAGTCACCACTGCTGGTCATGTCTAACGTTTGATCTTCAGTGTCCTAGCTACAGTTTGTGATTACTTACAAGCACTTAAAAGATGCCAGACAATGGGATTCACAAGACAAGAAGACCATCACATTGTCTAAGTACTGTGAATAGTTGAAGACAAAATATATGCGCCTATACAAACCATAGTAGAAGTTGCCGTGAGTGTGGGAGAGTGTACATTTGTACATTTTATAGTCAAACTAATGTCAAACGTAATTTTTTTTTCCAAAGGATGTAGTCACTGATGCGTGACCTGCCATGTATATTTTTTTGTGAACTCAAATTTTGACCATTGTCACTCTTCCTCTTAGAGCAAACAATCAGAGCTACTCGTCATGTTCAATCTTTTTGTGTTCCCTAACAATTGCATTATAAACTTCAGCTAGCCACCAAACACAGCACCAGCAAGATTTATATAGTTCCGCTCCAAGAAAATATTTACAGTAACCACCAGTGAATAACGTCACCCAACAGAGAAGATAAAGTTCTATTGAAGCAGATGGGGAATACAAATCTGCCTTCAGTGTAATTTTGAGATGATTGGCCTAAATTCTGAAGCAACTCCCCAAGTGTGTCCATCAGCAACCCCCAGCAAAATTTTATATAGTTTCGCTCCAAGAAAATATTTGCAGTACCTAGTGAATAACGTCACCCAACAGAGAACATAAAAGTTCTATGATGGAGGAATACAAATCCGCCTTCAGTGTAATTTTGAGATGATTGGCCTAAATTCTGAAGCAACCCCCAAGTGTCCATCAGGAATCAAAGTAAATAATTGCAGATCAAGTGAATTGCCGTCGCATGTACGTATCTTCGTGTACGAAAACGGGTCCCTGAGTGCTCTGTGGTGGAAACTCAGGTTGTCCCATAGCAATGCCTCCAACACCTTGGTTAGGAGCAGAAGTACCCCATGGCCGCCCATCATCCTTTGCCCGAGTTAGGGAGAGATAATATAAAATCCCAAGGGAAACACTAGCAAGTGATAGGATAGCACCTCCGGCAAAGACACCTGGTTTGACAACATAGCAGTAGTAGTTACCAAAATATATGCTATCTTCACCATGTTGATCATTGAGTGCAGCACCCGTAAGTAACAGAAGAAACGCTATGATAAATGTGAACCTGCATAACATTAGGACATAATACATCTATCAGCCTTTCAGTAAAAGTGATTTGTATGCCGTGAATGCAAACACACGATGACAAACAGCAGCGTGTCCAAACACTCCATTATCCAAATTTGCAAGATATGTCCAAACTTCAATTAAAGTAGACTGGTAGATGCATGGCGTCATTAGTCATTTACAGCGAGAAAAAGACCCGTGGGAGCGGAATCCAATTCCACTCCTCTGGGAGGAGTGTGGTCTGTTTGGCGTTTACTTCAAAATAAATCTGGACATGACAATGAAATCTACTAGACTTTATCTAATTTATGCATTAAGATTATTATCTCCGGTGATTTTCTACGGTGAACTCATGAAGGAAATCTACTCTACCCTCCTTTCCCTTGATAGAAGAAGGAATTGGAACAGAAAAATATCTACGTTTGATGCAAGACTTCAGAGGATAGAGATGTGTAAAACAAAAAATCTGCCTCTCCGTGAAGCATCCTTAATAACCTAACAATATTCTTCAGATCCCTCTATGCTCCAGTGATCACTTCCCATATACACCTTCAGACTATTCTTATAGCTAATAGCTGAGCCACACCAAGGATTATCTAGCCAGCTTCAAGCTCTGAGAAATTTTGTTGAGGAATTGGTTTCAATACCTTCTAAGCATGTTTAATGTCATTAAAACATAAATTAGCAAGGCAATTGCAGTCACACCACTACTTAGGGATATCCAGCAGTGCTACTGATTGCTAATAGACCGAAGAAAAAAGTAGAACATAGCAAGCCACAACAAAAAATCACATGAAGTTATTGCTATCCACAGCAGATAAGATGAAATAGACTCCAGAACACTTCAATACTCCAGAGAGTGAGAAGTCAACTGATGACATACTGTTTCGAATTCCACGGATCAATATTGTAAGTGAACTCATGCAAAGGGAATAAAGGAGTACTAGATGGATTTGGATTCCTGGATTTTCCAGTGAGTGCTACCGGCAAACAACGAAGAAGACCAATGCCTGGTCTAGTTAGCTGAGTCACAGAAAGGATTATCTAGTCAGCTTAAAGCTCTGAGAAAATCTTCTTGAGGAATTAGTTTCAATACCTTCTAAGCATGTTTAATGTCATTAAACTATTAATTAGCCAGGCAATTGCAATTATACCGCTACGTAGGGACATCCATCTAGTGCAACTGATTGTTAATAGACCGAAGGAAAAAGTAGAATGTAGCAAGCCGCACCAAAAAATCACATGAAGTCATTGTTTTTCGTAGCAGATAAGATTAAACAGACAGTAAAACACTTCGAAACTCCACAAGGTGAGAAGCCAATCTGTGACATCATGTTTTGAATTTCCCATGCCGCTCTTTGTAAGTAAACTCATGCAAAGGCAACAAAAGGAGTACTGAACGGATTTAAATCCCTGCGTTTCCAGTGAAAATTACCAGGAAACAACGAAGAAGACCAGTGCCATGGTCCAGTAAGAATTTGATGGATTCGGGTTCTTTCTGCAGCAAATGCAACCGGTTGCCACATTGATAATTACTTGAGCTATCATAAGAGCCACGGCAGCAGTTAACCCAAGAGGCAGAGCTGGACTCCAGGGATAGGCACATTGCGTAGGAGTAGTGACTTGCACCTCGGAACCCTGATTAATGGAATCAGTATTGATCATTTTCTCTGTTTTAGTAAGCAACTATCAATTATTTGAGAAATAAAAAAGAAAAGACAACGTTTTGCATGCATGTGTATGCACACAATAAAGTTTCATGCTTGGGCGTGCAATATACAGACCAAATTCCACATGCGTGGAAATTGCAATGCTGGGATTTCATTAATTTGCAAACTTTATACACACAAGACTCACCCTCCGGTGATAACTTATGAGGATTCTGATCTGTGTCAAGCGGGTAGAATGGACAAAGAATCACAGACAACGATGGTGTAGAAGATCCATAGATCAACCCAATTTGGTTGCAAAAACGGTTAAACTTTACTGTACAGGTGGCAGCTCGCATTCCGATAGTCAATATACTTTTATATCACGTGTGCTCATGCCGATCACAATTGATAGAAGCATGAATTTCTCAATTAGACTAGGGTAAATTGCAATGAGTGGTCAAAACTTGTCAAGGACACATGCCCATGGTTGGACCTAGATTCTAGTTTCCACCCTGCAGTTATACAGTTGTGCTATAAGCACCTAAAATCTGGTCGTCTGTCTTTGTTATCAATTGTGCAATAAGATAATCTCTTCAAACCCGAACTCCCCAAATAACACTCGGAACGTTCTTTGAAGATCCTTCGACTTGTGTTTTTCCATCAATTGCAAACTTCAGCAATCAAGACAAAAATCGGAATTTTGTTTAGGCTCAGCACCTGATCCCAAACAAGAAAAGCACAAATTTCATTCAATCCAAACCGTAAGGTATGTTCTTCCTCCATCGCCAAAGGTAAAGGCTACTTGTAGGTGATTCTTTGTTGTTATCTTTTGACACTATTCTGGGCTTCTCATCTTGGTTTAGCGAGTAGTAATTTTCGGCTTAGATGTGCTTAATGTTTGGCCCAGAAGCTGAAGAACTCCAGGAAGTTTATATTATGGCCATACTTAAAAATGCGTGGAATTCCAATTATCAGACATTCAATAACTAACACACAACAGTTTTGATTCTTGTGAAGATCAAGGTTGCAAGGTTCATTTAGATCTTAAAATATGCCAATTTCACGTCTCTCCAACTTCTAGAGCTCAGAAGATCAACTCAAAAAGAACCATAAATTTCTTACGATAGTCGTTGCCATAAGATACAGGTGGACAGTGTAAAGCTACAAGTTAGCAAGTAGATTTCTTTTATGGGATAAATCCGACGACATGGCATAAATAAAAACAGCCTAACATAGTCATGCTGTATTTAGCTGCTGTATCTTCTAGGCTGCATTTTCTCAGAGGTTGTAGGACTTCTCTCATATTTAGCAGCTGTAAGCATTCCCTTTGCCCCAATCAACCTCCTTTGATTACATTAAAGCATTTGATATTTCATGGATTACTGCCTTTTGCTCAGTGAATGAACAAATTCACAATGTATTGTCATTTCAGGAAAACTATGCTCCCAGAAAGGGATTTTCTTGACAGCAGAAATTTTGTTTTCACAATAAAAGAAGGCTCTGCCAAAATTAAAGCAGAACTACCAAGGTTTTCCAGCAAATATGCTCATTTTTTTATGTGATCCCAACAAAGCAAGAACTAATACAGGCAAATGAATTGTCAAAATGTCTCATCAAGACTCCGTCAATTGCAAAGCACCGCTGAAAAATTAATCCAGGCCAAATGGGACCCAAAACCTGAAATTACTGGGATCAAAAGAGTTGAGAGACTCCAGTAATCGATGGAAGAGGCTCAACAGGACAACAGTACTATAATCTGCATTTTCCTTTTTGAGAACTCCAGGAAGATCAAAACCAAAAAAATTGCAATCTAAAGTGAAATAGCACGTTCATAGCACTGATCGGTAACAAGATCTTCTGCATGCATTTCTTAAGTCGTTCCTAATCATTAAGAACAGAATTGACAAACAAACCCAGAAAGGGGTCCTATTAAATGACAAAAGGGTAAAGCCAAAGAAAAAAACCCGAGGAAACGAATAAATCGGGAAAAAAAGTGAAGTAATGACAAAGAAAAGGATCAGGTGAATCAAAAGAACACATGGGCAAACAAATAGAATTCCAAAGCTGTAATCTTCGAGCACTTAAAACGTCTGTGAGCATGAAAGATCAGCTAAACTGTCGTGGAAACAGTAATCGCTTAACAATCTCAAGACTCTCGAGCGCATCACACTTGTTCCTGCGATTTTCTAAGAAGGACCAGTAATACAATGCTTACCCATCATCGAGAAACGCATTGACATAATGATCAAGACGATGCCGAGGAAGAAGAGCAGTTAAAGCATCCAGAAACAGAGCCCTGTTGAAAAAGAAAAGAAGAAAGAGAGAAAGTACCTTAATCCGAGTGGCTTCTGCGCCAAAACCCGTAGCAGCCGAGAGGATCCCCAAGAGACCCACGACGCCACATATCACCACCACCTTCCTCTCCATCTCTCTCTCTCTCTCTCTCTCTCTCTCTCTCTCTCTCTCTAACGCTTCATACACGCAAGCTCAATCTCGCTCTCTCTCTCTCTCTGGTCTCTTTCGCTCAGTCTCTTTTTCTCGGGGAAATTGTAAAGTTGATGGAAGTGCCTACGGGAATCTCGTCACAGTGACGGTCTGTTTTTTTGAGCAATCCAGGTGTGTACAAAAATCCAGGACAAAACTGTGGTATCAGAAAAGAGGGTCGTAGTTACTTCCGTAAAATATCGCGTGCTTCTCCCACCGTCTTCCCGGTCGCATGTTGGGCGTTTTCGTCCTTTGTTTGACTTTGACAAGCGAACCACTCATAGCTTGAGTCCCGGCCAAGTAATTAATATCACAAAAAACCTTATATTAATATATTTATGATAAATATACCTCAAATTAAATTTTTGACCACAAAAAACTTCAAATTGATACACTTGTAATAAATTTGTCATCTGTTAGTTTCTGTTAATTTTTACTATCAAATTACCAAGTTGAATGACACGTGGCAATTGACGGGCATACCAATTTGAGATTTCACCTTCCGTTTATCGCAAGTGTGCCGATTTGTGTATTTTCGTGGTATCAATATTATTTAATGGAAACTGGTGGATGGAATGTATGAGTTTTGGGTTTTTAGCTGTCAAAAAATTAGTTTTAAATAAATTATTACATATATACCGGTTTATGGTTTTTTGTGGTTAAAAAATTAGTTTGACGTAAAATTAACACGAGTGTACCGGTTTGGAGTTTTTTGTAATATTAACCCTTAGATTTTCACGTTACACACGAAAGAGTTCATGATAGTATCTTAGAAATTCTTTTTTTAGCCATTAGAAGCATCACAATACACGTTGTTGTGTTTTGTTAAGAATTCCAGGTTGGTATACATGCTGACAAATTCCCATCTCAAATGCCAAAAAACTTCATGTCTCTATCAACTTCAAAATGTAAAATATAATTGTTAATCGCCATGACAAAATCATGGCCTACGGGCATAGCAATATTGTCATCCGTAAGAAAAATCTGAATCAAGGTCGTCTTAATTGTTTTATTGAATTTCACTAATCATAAATAAGTTTTTCCTCTCACTTTTTTAAAATATCAACATAGGTAAATTGCATGGACTATAATTGGGAGTTGAGAGCTATATTTTTCCCCGGAGGTTCAAAGGTAGATGGTAACATGGATTGCAAAATATAACTCTCTGAAGAAGGGCCTACTACTATCCAGTAATTGACGAATAGGAATGAAATGGTCGAGATTCTGTGGAGTCAGTTCATAGATAAATATCCTATAGTAAATTTATACATCCGGAGGATGATGACAGAATGTAAAGAAGAGGGTTCTTCACAGCTTGGTACAGTCGGTTGGCTTGAAAGAAACAGTACTCCCATCGATGTCAAACCCGATCAAATAATCAGTCTGAGCAAAGTTGCCAACTATCCCACCAGGACCGTCGGTGGGAGTCACGGTGAAGCAAAATATGCCGTCCTTAGCCTCTACGAACGTGCTCGCCTGCTTCAACTCCACGTCGGCGTCGGCGTCGAAATGCGCCGTCAGCAACGGCCCCTTTGCCTGCACGTCCCTCCCGTAGCACAGCTGCGGCCTCAGCTGAGGGTCGTCGATGAGTGGCAAATCCACCGCTCTCTTCACCTCCGCTTCCAACCTGTTGTAGAAATCTCTCGGCACGATCGTCAGAGGCGTCCCCGAGTCGAGGAACATGTTCCCCTTCTTGATGGACCCAGAAGACCTAAATGGCAGGTAGGTGCTCCCAACACTGATCCCGTTCAGGGTCACGTAGTAGTAGGTCGGGTCTTCCAGGGCCACAAGGATGGTCGTGACCGTGCCGAGCCCAGAGACCAGGCTGCCGCTGCCGAAGCTCATCTTGCTCGAGATGCTTGGCGGAGTGTGGAAGGGGACCAGGCACTGAGAGAACCGCCTGGCCCCAAACGACGTGTCCATCTGCGAGACGAGTGAGACGGGGCCTTTCCCCGAGCCCGACGATTCCCATCTCGTTGTCGTTGAAGATGCCGGTATTGTTGTGGCCGCAGCCGAACACTACGTTCGGAAGCGGCACCGGTAGCCCATCGGTGGAAGCAAAGGTCAGCGTCTCCGTCGCGAGGACGCCCTTCGTCAGGGATAAATCGTCGTATTCGTACGTGCAGTTGCACGTGTTGGCGGGAGGAGCGCACGAGGTGGCGTCCACGAGGTGGCACTGCTGGGATGGGCACGCGACGTCGCGGTATGTGGAAGACGATTTCGGGTCGTACTTGGGCTTCTTCTGAGGGTAACACTGATCGCAAGGGAGGCATTGAGTCCAGAAGAGGTCGCTGCCAGTGTCAGCGATGGCATAGACATCGAAGGGCGGGGTCCCAACCGACATTTTCAGGAGATATTCGCCGTCGTCTGGGAAGCTTTCGGATTGAGCCGTGTCGAGATGGAACAAAGGTGGGATAGGAACGTTCATGTTGAAACGGCGTTGGACCCTGGCAAAGGAGCGTCGGAATGCATCGGCATAGCGCTGCACAAGAGCTTTGCCGGGGTTGTGGATGTGGTCACGGTGGACGAGATTGGCAGTGAAACCCTGTCTCGACGGTGGTGCCCTTGCGGTGCCACGGATGGCCGTTATGAGTAGAGCGAAAGAGATGAGAAGAAGGCAAGGGGAAGAGAGCTTCTTCATTGCCATTGAGCTTGCTTCACTTTTCTAGATACTGTTTATGAAGGGAACACCGAAATGTGGAATTAGGTCTGGGTTTAGTCGCCCAGCAATACAGCAGGATGTACGATTTATATAAAGTGGTAATGCAATATAATGTGCTTCAATCCACATAAAGGGAATGGACAGTGAGTTTTATTCCATATACGTACATTTCAAGGAGAGAGATATACTCCCTTAAAAGTAGTTTTGGGGCTGACATAAGGAATGTAAAATTCATCCGTCAACACATATGGAAATATGTGTGAGTGTGAGTTGTTGCTGTGCATGGTCTGTCCATGTTAATTTGTGATTAATTATATTTCTTTATAATTGCTATACATGGCTGAGCTTTCCACATCTACCCGTACATTTAAAGGAATGTACGTTTTAAGGATTGGGATCACACTACAAAAAAATAAGGGATTAGCGACGAATTTTGCGACGAAAAATTAGGCAAAATCCGTCGCAAATCGAATTTGCGACGAAATTAGCGACGGAAAAAATTCCTTCGCTAATAGGGCGTCGCAAAATTTTGCGACGGAAAAAAATTCGTCGCAAATTAGCCACGAACACTATCCGTCGCAAATTAGCCACGAACTTTATTCGTAGCAAAATTCGTCGGAAATTTCATCGCAAAATTAGTCGCAAATTTCGTCGCAAATTTAGTCGCAAAATTCCACTACAAAAAAATGAGGTTTTAGCGACGAATTTTGGGACGAAAAATTTGGCAAAATTCGTCGCTAAACGAATTTGCGACGAAAAAAATTCCGTCGCTAATTCGGCGTCGCAAAATTTAGCGACGAAAAATATCAATTTCCGTCGCTAATTTGCGACGAAATATATTCGTCGCAAAAGTCGTCGCCAAATTCGTGGCAAATTATTCGTCGCAAAATTCGTCACAAAATTCGTCGCAAAATTCGTTGCTAATTATTCGTCGCTAATTATTTATCGCTAATTATTCGTGACAAAATTCGTCGCTAATTTCGACCTAAAAAAAAATTCATCGCTGATTTGCCAATTTTTTTTTTGGGTCCGTAATTTTTTTTTGGTCAATAATAGCAACGAATTTTTATTAATTCTTTAGCGACGAATATTGTTTAGGGACGATTTCAATTTTAAATCTAATTAACAGCAAAATTAATTCCTACAATTTATATTTAACATTGATTAAGCACTTAATAACATCAAAATATTATAATAATATGAAAATGAAATACGTTCATCTGCATTTTCCACAAGAATGACATATATATTTTTCTTTATAGTACACATAATGAGAGAATAAATAATCTTGAGCACTTTAAAGCACTTGCTTAAGCAACCTCAGGGTGGCAATTCTTTCCAGGGCAGGAACATATTGGGCCAACTGCACTTCTGGCACTGAAGATGCTGAAGCAAAGCTTATCCCCGATATGTATAAAAAGATACTTCCAATCTTGCGCCCACTCTGCTTTCTCCTATAAGGTTTGCATGAAGTGCTTCGTCACCTCCTCCAAAGAAGCGACATTCACTTGTTGACATACAATGCGATACTCAAAGTCCCACAAGCCCAGAGAAGAAAGTGAAATACCTACAATTGCCAAAATTTCGCATCCAAAATTAAAAGGATTGCATTAGAACATTTATATATCTTTAGGCCATGAAAGCAATTGCTAGAAATTTCTGGTGACACATTTTCAGTCTAATTGATCCTCTGAAAGAGCAAATTAAGAAGCCTAGATTAACGGACCTACCAATCAATATGCACACCGCACAAGGTTAGATTGGCTCTCATTGTACAATGATGTGTAATAATCCTCTTCTCTAATGTCCAGTGTATCCCGCCTCAAAGTAACCTGCAGGGAAAGTGAAGAGAGCAGGAAGCGGTGGATTTAAGTTAAAAATCTTCGACATGCCGAATTGCAATTGTACACATATGCAAGAGAACTCACAATTCTAGGTGGAAGTGCAAGATCAGCAGCTCTTCCCTTTTTTGTGCGTCTCAGCAAAATGTTTTTCAAAATTGTGTTTTAGTAATATCATTGCTCGTCTCAGCAAAATGTTTTTCAAAATTGTGTTTTAGTAATATCATTGCTCGCCTTCTGCCAACGGCATTTCCATGTGCTTGTATAGGATTCGCTATATACTAGATAGAATATATACTCCATATCAGAGTTCAAATGAAAACATTCCATATGATTTGCCCAAAAAAAAAAGAGAGAGAGGCCAAAGGACCAATGAAAATGCAACTCACTCGATTCCACCAACAAAAGTGCCGTACAGAACTGTGAGAGCATTCAGGACATTGTTTTGAGGAACTGCAAATGAACAACAGACTTACAAAATAGGTAACAAAGGAAAAATACATTCACTGAACTCAGTGCATGCAATCAGCAGGTGAAGCTCTAAGACCAATCGATAAAGTTAATGCAGAAAACAAAGAGTGAGATTGCATTAACTAAGATAATGAAAGTGAAGTCAACCCAGACAACAATTCGAAGAAAACGGACCCGAAAAGTTTATTGCAGGACAATGTGATTGACTACAGAAGGTGAATAACAATTAACCACTCGTATAAAATAGAAACTTACAAGAGAGTAGAGCTCCCCAACACGATTTTGAAGAGGTGTTCCACTTAAAGCCCATCTGTACGAAGACTCCAGTCCGAGAACTGCTTTTGCAGTATTACATCGCCTATCTTTGACAAAGTGAGCCTACATTGAATAAAATTGCATAGGCATAAGTGGGAAATGTACATGCAGATGAATGTTCAAAGATCACGAAGCAAATCATACTAAGAGATCCCGGATAGAAGTTTTTTTGATAAATTGTGGAAAAGAACATGCATATACGGTTCCCTAAAAGTAATCAAACCTTCAATCGAAAGGCCTAATCTTACAGAAATTTGTCTTGCCAAGAGCAAATTAACGCATTCATGCGTGGCTTCACCCAGCCAAACAAAATAACGAATCACGTGTTGCCAGCATGGACATATCGAAATCTTTATATCGGTTACAAAGCATTGAACTATGTTAGCACTCATATCACCGCAAGATACTCCCATTCACTCACCTCATCCAAAATAATGCGCTCCCACTTCACTGAGTGTAAAAGCGACTTCCCCACACGATGGCTTTGATCATCCCCCAAATCACTAATGTTCTCTACTGTAGATTCTATATCTCTTTGTTGCGTTGCCTATCTGCCTTTCTTCTTTACTTGCGTTGCCTGTCGTGCCCAAATTATCCGCCTGCAACAAAAATCAAGAAACTCATCAAACCAAAACGCAACGTCAAACGAACCAAAAAAACATTCCTACAAGCAACCTCAGACCCAGAAGTGCAAAATCTGCCTCTGGGTTTTCATCTCACGACCGTCGATTTCTTATCTCAATTTACCGAAAATTCCAACGAAATCGACTCGGAAAACTCACGGTGTTCACGGTGCTCTCGAGATTCTGAGCAGCACCGTAGGCCGAGAAGATGAGCAGGAACCCACAACTCAGGATATGGACATCACGGGCATGGCCTCTCGGAGGCGACGCAGCCGGCGGGGCCTCGGCGGCGACCAGCAGAGCCTCCTCGTCGGAAGCCTCGGCCTCCTCATCCGGAGCGGCGATCTCTCGGTCCTCTTGCTCCGCCTCCTCCGCCTCTAATTTCTCGGGGAGCTCCTCCTTGCCCTCGACGGGGGGGAGGAGCCGCCGCCCCTTCGGGCTCTGCGGCCTCTAGGGCTCCGGAGGCCATGGCGAGGAGTCGCCGGAGGAAGCGCAGGGGGGGAAGGGGTACCGAAAACCCTTAGCGAGCGCGAGAGGTTTGGGGGTGTGGGGGAGGGAAGAAGGAGAAGGGAGAAGCGGAAGCACGGGGTGAGGGGATCTAAGGAATCAGCAGAGAGAGACTGAGAGAGAAAATGGGGGTGAGGGCGGGCAAAGCAAAATTAGCGACGGAATTTTTTTTCCTTGCGACGGATTTTGTTTCCGCGTCGCAAATTTGGGATGAATTTTTTTTTCCGTTACAAATTTTTGACACGGATTTTTTTTTCTTATTTTCGTCGCTAATTAGCGACAAATTTAGCGACGACCTTTTAAAAAAGAATTAAAAAATTCAAATTTTTACAAAAAAAGAAAATAAAAAAAGAGAAATAAAAAATAATTAAGAAATTTGATTTTTTAAAATAAAAATATTTAAATTTTTTTTATTTTTTTGATCTAAAATAAAGTCATGAGATTAAAATCATTTTCCAATGAAATCCAAACATCAGAAAATGATTTCCATCGTATATCACCAAACAAATGAAAACTAAGCGTATTCATAGAAAATGATTTTCCGGAAAACACTTTCCTTTATTATTAAGTTTTCCGCAAAACAAACGTACCCTTAGAGTGATTACCAACTTCTCCTCTATCAAGTTTACCATATTGCATTACCAACTCCTAATTGAGTTACTTACCAATGTTTATTTTCATTTTTTTTCTACACCAACTTCTCTAATCTCTAACCAAACAAAGCTTCTGTCATTGTTTACGAACTTTTATTTACATTTCTTACCAATAATTTAAATTTACCGAGTATTATATGAAACTATCAGCCTAGCTTTCTTTGCATGATTTGGGTAAATTTTCTCCAATCAAATCAATTAGTTTTGGATTACCAAATCTCAATTGAGTTATTAGCATTTATTTGTTATTTTCTCAAATTTACTAGCTTTTTATTAAGTTGCTACTTTTATTTGCATTGGTTTCCAACTTTTTAAATTTACTAGCTCTTTTAGAAATTACTAACTTTTATTAGAGTGATTACCAACTTTTTTCGATCGAGTTACTAACTAGTTTTATGTTACCTTCTTTTATTTGAGTTACTTACCAATGTTTATTTGGTTTTCTATTTTGAAATGACCGACTTTTCTTATCTCTAACAAAAATACATTTCTAATTTTCTACTAGCTTTGAATTTACCTTCTATTACATGAAATTATCAACTTTTTTGTGTGCCTCGTTAACTTTTGCCCAATTAAGTTACCAATTAGTTTTGCATTGTCAACTCTAATTTGAGTTGCTTACCCATTTGGTTTTTTAACTTACCAATTTTTATATTGAGTCATGCTTCTTTTTGCATGACTTACTAATCCAATTTTACGATTTAATACCAATTAATTTTCTATTACTAATTGTTATTTTACTTAATTACTAAAATTTATTTGATTTTTTCGTCGCTAAATCTGTCGCTAATTAGCAACGAATTTTTTTTCCGTGGCTAAATCTAAATCCGTGGCTACTTTTCCGTGGCTAAATCCTTTTTTTGACTGTTTTTCGTCGCAAATTAGCGACGATTTTTTTTTCCGTCGCTAAATTCGTCGTAAATTAGCGACGAATTTTTTTCCGTCGCTAAATTCGTTGCAAATTAGCGACGAATTTTTTTCCGTCGCTAAATTCGTCGCTAATTTGCGATGAAATTTTTTCCGTCGCTAAATTCGTTGCAAATTAGCGACGAATTTTTTTCAGTCGCTAAATTCGTCGCAAACTTGCGACGGATTTTTTTTTTTCGTCGCAAATTTGCGTCCAATTTTATTTTCGGCGCAAATTTGCGACGGATTTTTTTTTCCGTCTCAAATTTGCGACAGATTTTTTTTTTTCGTCGCAAATTTGCAACGGATTTATTTTCCGTCGCAAATTTGCGTCCGATTTTATTTCCGGCGCAAATTTGCGACGGATTTATTTTCCGTAGCAAATTTGCGATGGATTTTGCGACGGATTTATTTTCCGTCACAAATTTGCGACGGATTTATTTTCCGTCGCAAATTTGCGATGGATTTTTTTTTTCCGTCGCTAATTTGCGACGAATTTTTATTTCGTGGCAAATTCCGTCGCAAATTAGCGACGAAAATTATTCGTCGCTAATTTGCGACGGAAAAAAAATCTGTCGCAAATTTTCGTGGCAAAATCCATGTTTTTTTGTAGTGGGAGTTTCCGAAGCCTCCCATCAATTTCTTTTGTTTGTTCACGACCGCGAGGAGAACCCGCAATCAATTGATACATGAGAGTATTGGATCTTATCTTGACAGTATTAGAAAACAGGATATGTGTGTGCTGTGGATAGAACGGAGGGGAAAAATCAATAAAGGAAATGAACGTGTAGGACTTGGAGGATCATAAGATGTAGAGTTAGAAACATTAGAATTCTGTTTAGTCAATTGGTTCGTTATAAGCAGAATTTTGGAAGATTTGAATTCCTTATAATCACACTTGAGAGGACGAATTGTTCCTCTATCAAATATTCATGTTTAGTCAATTTTCTATCGCGATTCGACATCATTTGGTATCAAAGCACAGGTTGCTTGAATCAATGGCTGAACATAATCGCATTGGTCTTGGACAGCGGGCTCGTGGTGGTCGGGGGCGTGGAGTCATTCCTGAAGCAGATGAACAACCGCGTCTAAGAGATCTGCAAGACGTAGAAACTGAAGAACAAAGAAGACGAATCCAGGATTTGGAGTGACAACTTGCGGAGGCGAGGTTGGACGTTCAATCCAAAGAAGGAGCGGAATCTGAGGATCCATTCGATGATGAAGGGGAAGACGTCAACCCTTTCGGGGTTTTGAACCAGGAACGGAATCGAGGAGTACGACGTAGAAATCAACCATTTTCTCATAATTTCGGGATGAAGATCGAGATTCCTGAGTTTCATGGTAAGGTTCATCATGATGAATTTATTGACTTGTTACATACAATAGAGAGGATCTTTGATATTAAGGATATGATTAAAGAGCAGAAAGTTAAAATAGTGGCTATTAGGCTACGAAAACATGCCTCGATATGGTGGGAGCATGTGAAAAGGCAGCGTGCTAGAGAGGAGAAATCAAAAGTGAATTGCTGGGATAAAATGAAGAAATTGTTGCAAAAGAAATTTTTACTTACTCATTATAGATAGGAGGCGTTTGTTAAGTATCACAACGTTAAGCAGCGAGATTTAACGGTCGAGCAGTATATTGAGGAGTTTGATCAATTGCAGATGCGTTGTGATGTGGCTGAGGAAGACAAGCAAACAATTGCTCGATATTTGGCGGGGCTGCGGTATAAATTTTCTGATGTTGTCCAATTACAGCAATATTAGACCTATTAGATGTGTGCATGTTGGCTTTGAAGGTGGAAGGTCAGTGTAAAAGAAAGGACGTGGGTTCCAAATTTCAGAATCGATGGTTAGGCAAATAATCCCGAGGAAAAGCGGGAACATCTGCAACCAATTCGACACCAACCGCAGTTAAGGTTGCGAGTTCTAAACCTGCATCCAAGGACGGGCAGAGTAGTATTGGAACTAGTAGGGAAGGAGCTGCAGCCAAGCGATGCTTCAAGTGTTAAGGACTTGGGCATTTTGCCACTGATTGTCCTCACTGACAGATTGCGACGCTTGTTGATAATCCAATCTTTGATGAAGGTCCAGTCTATGATGAATCTGAAGGCGAACAAGAGGATGCAGAGGCGGAACAGGAAGGGATTATCTATGCTGATTATGGTGAGTCCCTAGTTGTTAGGAGAATCTTAAATGTTGCTGTGGCGGACGATAAATCGTGGCTTAGACATAATATTTTTCATACTAAGTGCACTAGTGGAGGAAAAGTATGCAGCATGATAATAGATGGGAGAAGCTGCGAGAATGTGGTGTCCACTATTATGGTGGAGAAGTTGGGGTTGAAAATAGAAGATCATCCTCAACCATACAAGGTGTCGTGGTTTAGGAAAGGGAACGAGGTAAAGGTGAGCAAGAGGTGTCTCGTGCAATTTTCGATTAGGAAAAATTACATTGATGAGGTGTGGTGTGATGTGGTCCCAATGGATGCTTGTCATATTCTATTAGGGAGGCCGTGGCAGTTTGACAAAAAGACACAGCATGATGGCTTCATAAATACCTACACCTTCAAGAAGAATGGCCGGACCATTACCCTAGGTCCTTCAGATTTTAGAAAGGATGTGAAAAATAATCTGCTGTCCAGATCAGAATTTCAAGAAGAGACAATGAACGCGCCTGAGCTTTTTGCCATTGTGGTGATGGAGTAGAATTCTGACAGTCTCGAAATTCCTACCCAAGTTTTGCCCTTGCTTGAGGAGTTTGTTGATGTCGTACCAGAAGAGATGCCACCTGGGTTGCTGCACATGAGAGGCGTTCAACATTGTATTGATTTCGTCCTGGGAGCTGTTATTCCCCATAAGGCAGTTTACAGAATGAGTCCTAAAGAACATGAGGAGCTGCAGAGACAAGCAAAACATGAAGTATAAGCAGCGAGTGGATAGGCGCAAGAAAAGAGTCGTTTTCAAAGAGGGTGATCTAGTGTGGATTCACTTTAGAAAAGAGCGTTTTCCAACTAGCAGGTTTAGCAAATTGCAACCTAGACCTGAAGGACCATTCAGAGTTCTTGAGCGAATTAATAACAATGCTTATAAGATCGAGTTGCCGGGTGAGTATAATGTATCCAGGACTTTTAATGTAGCGGATTTGTCACCTTACCGTGCAGATGAGGAAGAACCTGAGGAGATTGATATTAATGAAGATGAAGATGAAGCAGATTCGAGGGCAAATCTTTTTCCTAGTAGGGGAGGATGATGCACTTAGATTTTTTTTTTTTTGGTCTGTGATGATGCACTTAGATTGGCGAGCTTGGAATGAGCAGTAATTTGGTGTTGTTTAGATGGGTTTTCAGGCTTTTGGGTTTTAGGCAGTTTTCGTTAATTTAATGTTATTTTAACGGCGTTTTCGTAATTTTCGCGTTTCTTATTGTAATTAGGTTTAACACCATATAAAAGGATGTTTAGGGTTTCGTTATAAGCAGATGTTTAGATGGGTTTTCAGGCTTTTGGGTTTTAGGCAGTTTTTGTTAATTTAATGTTATTTTAATGGCGTTTTCGTAATTTTCGCGTTTCTTATTGTAATTAGGTTTAACACCATATAAAAGGATGTTTAGGGTTTCGTTATAAGCAGAATTTTAGGCTATGTTCGTTTCCGGTGTTCGGGGGCGGAAAATATTTTCCGTGGGAAAACATTTTCCTTCCCCACCCCCAAATCTTTCATTGTTTTGAGGAAAATGATTTCCTCTTTGCACAAAGACGAAATCATTTTCCTCCAAAGTGAAGGCAAAATTGCCCATGGGAGGGAAAATGTTTTCCGTGGGAGAGGAAGTGGATCGCCGGCCGCCGCCGCCGACCGCCGCCGGTTGCCGGTCGCCGCCGCCGGTCGCCGGACGCCGCCGGATCGGCGGTCGCCGAACACCAGAAAATATTTTCCGAAACTTTTTCAAATTTTAGCCGAACACTAGAAAATTGTGTTCCAGAAAAATATTTTTCAGGAAAATGACTTCCGGGAAAATATTTTCCAAAAGGAGAATATTTTCCGGCAAACGAACGGAGCCTTAGAAGATTTGAATTCTTTATAATCACACTTGAGAGGACGAATTGTTCCTCTATCAAATATTCATGTTTAGTCAATTTTCTATCGCGATTCGGCATCACTTTTATCTCGACACCGTGTTTCTGTCCTTGAATACATCTTGAATTTTTGAGTAATCGGAATGATCAAACTCCAAAACAGTGTGTACTATATCTGCTTGATAAGGACCGCCTCGGATGCAACCGGCGAAACATTGACTTTGGAGTTTGTTCGAACTCGAGTGAGACATCATCCGATTTCGTCAACTGCAAAATCGAACCCCTGTCCTTCTTCTTCTTCTTTTTAAGCACAAAGCAAAGTTTCATTTTATGCGATTCTGCGAGTTCAAATTGCACATTCAACTCACTGATTCTCGAGCCTATTAGGACCAGTAAAGGACTGACCCCCATAACTGTGAGTCGAGAACCGGATTGAGTTACGTCTTCCCCACTCGTCCCTCCGTACCAAGTGATTTCATTAGGTGCCTAAGCAAGTTATTAATCTGAGGGAAGGAACTTGAATGCAATTACTTTTTCGTGGGTAAAACTTTTTAGAATAGGGAACGTCAACAGGTGCTCCATTAATTGCTTTTCATATTCCTCTTTTTAACCTTTTTGTTGTCTTCTGGGAAGGAATAATCTCTCCTTTCGTGGACGTGATTTCATTGACGAACAACTTCTTATTCTAGTAAGATTTTACCTATACATCTTAGACTAGCTTCCAACAAGTTAAAGGCGCGAGTTTGAGAAAAATTTACCAAGCACTTTTGGATTTTGAGTGCACAAAATTTCCAACTGCTTCCGAATAAATTTTGCATGATCACGATCCTTTTGGTCAATGTTGAGAGTCATAAGTTGCTTTTTTTATTTATTTTTATCGAAACTCGCCCTAAGTCCACCTTGCTTTTGTCAGTTTAGGTGTCACGACAATTGTCATTTTTTTCTATAGTCTATAACCTTAAATTTGCTGTTCATTTTCGTCGGAACGCCGATCGAATTCCTATCTAAAATCACCACCAAACTCATCTCCAAAAAAAAAAGTCAAAAAGCAACTCTTGGTGAATGATTTTTTTAACTATTCGGGTCGATACCCGTTTTTGGCTAAACACAAATCAACTTAATATGTAATTGGATGGCAAGATTTACAAAGACCAAAAGATATGCTATCTTAAAAAAATGTAGCGGGCGGTGTCAAGCCGACCAATCCCTCGATTGTTACACGCGTATGGGATTCGAGAAGATAGACTTAGATTGTGGGGAAAATACTAGAGGGACCCGTGCAAAAGCGATTGATTCGATAATCAAGGAGGCGGCGTGCCCATCGCCGTTCGTGCTACGAACTTGGTACGCAGAGGGGCCTAACCGTCATTTCGCGAGGGGACAGGACACGCTTTCGCATGCCCCACCGCCACGACACGACACGCCACGGAGTGGGGCCGAAGAAGAAGAAGGCAGGGCGACGGAGATAAATTGACGGAGGGGAGGACGGAGACACCCAAACCCACCCCCGCTAAGTAACGCCGTCAGCCCCGCCCCCGAGAGAGGCGTCGTCACAGCATTTTCTCCAAAACACGTAAATCGAATCGGTGTGTGTTTTGTAATATCTTTTCTCGCCGTTAAAGTGACGGCGGAGGGCGATGGAGAGGGAAACGGGACGGTACCGTTGAAGAACGTTAGCCGTACTACGATGACTGTGGAGGTAGTTGTATCTACCGACCCTGAACTGTTATGTATGGCGGTTGGGTTTTTGGGCTTTAACTTCATCCACCTCTCTCTGTCTCTCTCTGCGAGATCCGTCAATATAAAAACGTGGGGGGCTACGCCCTGAGCGGGCGATCAAACTGTCATCGCTCATCATCTCCCCATCTTCCCTCTTCATCTTCTTCTTCTTCAGCACGCAGAGAAGCGCAGAGCTTTTTGTATGGCCGCCAGCTCGAGGAGTTCTGGGGTCGCGGGAATCGGCAAGCGAGTCGTCTCTCAGATCTGGAGCCCCATCAAGCCCCTCCCGCCTTCTTCCTCTCTCCCTCTCAGGTCTCTCTCTCTCTCTCTCTCTCTCTTCCTCATGTTCTCCGTCGACGCGTGTATCTACTTCTCTCCGTCGTAGACCCATCTTCTTTTATTTTCCAGCGCAGTAAGTAGCTTCGAGTTCTGCTGGAGATTCGGGGTGTTATTCTCTCATGGCGGTCTTTACAGATCTTTCCTTCATCTTTGCTCTTTCGCCAAATCATCGTGTAAAAATCCGGAATAAAGCAAAAAAAAACTTTATGGGGACTAAATCTTTAGCTTATTACTACTGCCTGACCCGGCAAGAGCGAGGTGTATAGTCTAGCTATAAAGAGAGAAATTCCTAAAGTAAGAAACGCATGGCTCGTTGATTTTAGTGTTCTTCAGGTACTTCTTCTGCTGGGTTGCTTGCGGGACATCAAGCAGTTGGAAGTGCCTCTAAGGGGTTTATTGGTTTATTTCAAGGGTTCCTCTTTTCCCCTTCCAATTTGGCCCCCTGTATAGTTATAGCGACGGTGTCGTGATTGCTGTTGGTCTCGTGAACGCACGCCTTTTGGCTAAATTCGCTTCGATGGAAACATTAGTGGGATTGGTATGGACATTTTTCCCGTGTCCCGACCTGGAGTTCCAAACTTCAATCCCCTGTTTCCTGTGGAGAACGGCGGTTGGTTCTCCCTCAAATTCAACTGCAGACCCTAAACCACTTCGCAATCTCACCATAGAAGTCAATGAAGATGATCTGGCCATATTGCGGGATGGATGGCTTAATTCGGTGGGGGTGTCAAAATCTGTCATTTTCTAATGTGGGAGGGTCAAAATTGGCATACCCACTTTAGTACAATCGTATCGCTACAGCTCACTCTCTCAAAACCGATGAAAGTGGGGTGATCTAGACCAGAAATATCACCAGAAAGCAAGAAATCAAATGGAGGTGGGAAATGTCAGCATCCTTAGATAAGACTGGATATCTATCTATCTATCTACGTGTAGCGACAGTGAGCTACACCTACAGGCTTGGATCCGTTATTTTAATGTAGTGGTAATTGAAGATCGGAGAGCGTGAAGAAAGGATAGTGGTTGGTCGTGACTCACCCAATCCGATCATTTTCAATAACGTAACATCGACATCCTTATCCACCGGTGTGGCACACTGTTCCCCCACTAAACAACAAAATAAAAATCGAAGAGTATACAGCTTTAAATGGAGGAGGCGAGCAAAGCACTGATCGAGGGGGACATATAAGTTTATCCTAATTCTAAAGGCGAATGTGACCTGCCTCGAGCCCTCCGCGTGCTTAGGATAGTTTTTGGACTTCTCTCTTAGCTTTTCTGATCCCCTTTTGTTTTCCTGGAATGTTAACGTGCCTTCTTTCTCGGTCTAATCTCTTACCCACCAGACTAGCCCGCTAAGGAAACAAGAAAGTCTCTATCTAGTGATCAAAGCAGATAACCCTTTCAGGGTAACTAGAAAATTCAGCCAGTCACCTACATGTATAATCGAATAATTCCTGAAATTTCATTTTACGATGGTGTTAATCTAGGTTTATGTGCAATTCAAAGCTTGCATTTGTGTTGTCTATGGTCTGTATATATATCGGTGCATGCTAATTAAGCTAATAACTGACGGACATCATGTGCCGGCTATAGGAGAGCTGCCCACACGTCCGTGTATGACAAGAACCCCGAGGATCAAGTCACACCGAGCGTGGTCCCCGATGAAGTGATCGAGGCTCCATCCGACAAGTACTGGGCTCCACACCCCAAGACTGGGGTGTTTGGGCCTGCGACTGACCATCACCTCCGAGCCCACGGCGAGCTTCCCAAGCCCGGGAATGCCGAGAGCTCAGTGCTGGAGCACACAGCCTGGTTCCGCCCCACTAGCCTCGAGGATCTCGAGAAGCCTTCCCACCATTAGCATTCGAACAGGAGTTCAACTCCTAGCTATCATATGTAAGCCAACTCGGTGGCATCCTTAAGAAGAATAACTTGTTTGCAGCTGTAATATATTGTCAAGTACTGAAGCTATGGATTTGAGCTTTGTTAGCATGCGAGCACTACTACTTACCTGTCGAAGTAGGAGCTACGAATTGTACCCATGGGATTGTTGTATCTCCCCTAGACTTATGTGTATGAAATGTTAAGATGTGCCTACTTTATATTTCATTCGCCGTCTAATATATCCGTGTTTCTTATAGCATTGTCTTTGGAAGGACGATCATTAAGACATGATCATTTAGGGATGTGAGGACAAATGACTGATATGTCGGAGGGAGAGACAACTTCATTCTGTATCACTCGGGAGCATCATCTATGGAGATGGTTTATTTGCAAAATTGCAAAGCTAATTCAAAACAGTTTTGGTTAGTTTACTTCACTGTACTGAACAAAATATCAGGCCATAATTGTCAACCTGGTATTCCCAAATTAGATCCATGAGACGCGCTTAAAATAGTGTTTTGAGTTATTATGTCGGGCCTAAGACCGGACCTCCGTAGATGATGTGCATTCTGAATGTTCAGCTGTTGATGGAGAAGCAGAAGGAGGCCAAAATTGCTTTTCAAAATTGTACCAAACTCGCTCTACGTTTGCCTTCTCGGTTTGGTAACTTGTGAAGAAGTGATCATTTAAATGGTAACTTTACTCATCACATTTCAGTGCACATAAAGCCGAGTAGTTTTACTATCTCGATCAATCCCATCGAGGTTATGCACGTGATTGTTTTGTTGTTTTAAGTTGTTTGACAATTATCTTGAGTAGGTTTCACGTATCGGAATAAATTTTGCCGCTATGTTTTAATTGAAGATGCGCGGTCGACATTAAGATTGGGAGATTCGTGAAAGAACTATTTTTTTTTTATAACTTGGCTTAGGATTGACTTAGAATGAAGTTGCATATCTCCTCTTTTATAAGGGGAAAGGACCAATCTTTGTTTAGTGCTTTCCCATTTGATTAATTCCTAGAGTTTTTCGTTTGATTCCTTATGAAGTACTACCGTGATATGTAGGAAAAGTAAACAATCTTCAGCAACATTTACAAACACAAAAAGATATGTTATCTTCGCAATATTGTGGACAATTTTAAGCCGACCAATCTTGTGCGCGTCGTTAATTGGGTCTCGGATTCTTGTACGCTGTCAAGCGCTGAAAAGTTACTAGAGAATACATGCGGAAGCGATTGATATGATATTCGAGAGAAGCATAAATTCCATTCAATCGAAACCACAAGGCATATTCTTCCTCCATCGCCCACCACAGGTAAAGGCTACAGGTAGGTGATTCTTTGTTGTTAGCTTTTGACACTATTCTAGGCTTCTCATCTTGGTTTAGCGAGTGGTAATCTTCGGCTTACATGTGAAGCTAAAGATCTCTAGGAAGTTTATCTAACGGCTGTGCTTAAAAATGCCTGGAATTCCAATTTTCAGACCTTGATTAACCAACAAACTACAGTTCCGTTTCCTGTGAAGATCAGGGCTGCAAGGTTCATTTAGATCTTAAAATATGCCAATTTCACGTCTCTCCAACTTCTAGAGCTAGAGCTTTCAGACCAAAAACATAAAAACCTTCTAGAGCTCATTAGATCAAATTAAAGAGTGCCATAAATTATTTACGATAGTTGTTGCCATAAGATGCGGATGGACAGTGTGCAACTTTACAGGTTAGCAAGTAGAACTTTCTTTTGCGGGATGAGTCCGACGACATAGCACTAATAAAAACGACCAAACATGGTCATACTGCATTTTTCTTTTTTTGGACGGACGGTCATGCTGTATCTAGCTGCTGCATTTTGTCGAAGGTTGTAGGACTTCTCTCGTATTTAGCAGCTGTAAGCATTCCCTCTGCCCCGATTAACCTCCTTTAATTACATTAAAGCATCTGCTGTTTCATGGGATTGCTACCTTTTGCTCAGTGAATGAACAAATTCACAATGTATTGTCTCAAACAGAAACATTTCAGGAAAATTATGCTTCCAGAAAGGCATTTTCTTGACAGCAGAAATATAGTTTTCACGACAAAAGATGGCTCTGCAAAATTTAAAGCAGAACAACCAAGGTATTCCAGAATATATGTTCATTTTTTAATGTCAAAATGTCTCATCATGACTCCATCAGTTGCAATGCACTGCTCAAAAATTAATCCAGGCCGAATGTGACCTAAAACCTGAAATTACTTGGATCAAAAGAGTTGGGAGACTTCAGTAATTGATTGAAGAAACTGAACAGGACAATAGTACTTTCATCTGCATTTTCCTTTTTTGAGTTGTACTCCAGGGAAGATGTAAACCAAAAAATTGCAATATGTAGTGAAATAGTACATTTATAGCACTAATCGATAACAAGACCTTCTAACATGCCTTTTCTTGAGCCGTTCCTAATAAATTAAAAAAAATGTGGAAACATATTTGAGAAATTTCTATATATTTTAATATATAATAATGAAGAGTAAATCAGTTTATTCATAAGAGACGACTATCTAAGGCAACATATATCAATTAAGCTATGCACAATCAAAGGAAGTTATCTTTAAAAAAGGAAAATATCCTAAAGAATTATTCTAATTATCTCTAATACTAATCATGGAGAACAGAATTGAGAAACAAACCCAGAGAGGAGTCCTATTATATGACAAAAGAGTAAAGACAAAGAAAAAAAAACCTAAGAAACAAAGAAATCAGGACAAAAGCGAAGAAATGACAAAGAAAGGGATCGGGTAAATTAATAGAACACACATGGGCAAACATATAGCATTCCAAAGTTGTAACCTTTGAGCACTTAAAACGTGTGTGAGCGTGAGATATCGGATAAACTGTCCTAGAAACAACAATCTCTCTTAATAATCTCAAAATTCTCGAGTGCATGGCACTTGCTCCTGAGATTTTTTTGATCGAGGATCAGAAATACCTTGCTTACGTATCATCGAAAATGCATATCATGGTGATCATAACGATGCTGAGGAAGAGGAGTATTTTGGCATCCATAACAAAAACCCTGTTGAAAAACAAAGAAGAGGCTCAGAGCAAGGAGCGACGGATTAGTACCTTAATTCAAGTGACTTCTGCACTATAACCTGTGGCTCCTGAAATGCAAAACATAATAGTCAATTGCCAATTTGCCATGACAAGCTCGACTATTTATGGCAACATTGGGCATAGCAGCATCGTCCTCCATAAATGAAATCCGAATCGAGGTCCGTCTTAATTGTTTGATTAAATTCACTAATCATCTCTAAATTTCATTTTGACTAAATAAGTTAGCTTTGCTCACGTGCTTTATGATATCTACGTAGGTAAATTGCATGGAATTACTATTTTTGAGTCGGGGTACGAATTTTTAGATGATAAGCAACAGATTAGATAGGGATTAGGAGAGAGTATGCTGACTGTGTCCACGTGAGGGTGTTTGTCAATTGTTTGACCATATATCACAATGCTTGTCGCAAGAAAGATTTAAAGTTGATAGACAAAAACTTATGTAAATTTATCCATCCGGAGGATGACAAAATGAAAAGAAGAGGGGGTTTATTGCTTGGTGCAGTCGGTTGGCTTGAAAGAAACAGTGCTTTTGTCGAGGTCGAACCCGATCAAATGATCAGTCTGAGCAAAGTTGCCGAATATCCCGCCAGGACTATCAGTGGAAGTCATGGCGAAGCAAAATATGCCGTCCTTAGCCTCTATGAACGTGCTCGTCTGCTTCAACACCACATTGGCTTTGCCGTCGAAATGCGCTGTCAGCAACGGCCCCTTCGCCTGCACGTCACTCCCGTAGCACAGCTGTGGCCTCAGCTGAGGGTCATCTATGGGTGTCAATTCCACCACTCTCTTCACCTCCGCTTCCAACCTGTTGTAGAAATCTCTCGGCACGATAGTTGGAGGCGTCCCCGTGTCGATGATCATGTTCCCCTTCGCAATGGACCCAGAAGAGCTAAATGGCAGGTAGGTGCTCCCAACGCTGATCCCGTTCAGGGTCACGAGATAGTAGGTCGGGTCTTGCAGGGCCACGAGGCTGGTCGTGACGGTGCCCGGCCCAGAGACTCTGCTGCCGCTGCCGAAGCTCATCTTGCTCGAGATGGTCGGTGGGGTGTGGAAGGGGACCAGGCACAGAGAGAACTGCCTGGCCCCAAACGTCGTGCCTATCTGTGAGATAAGCGAGACGGGGCCTTTCCCGAGCCCGACGAGTCCCATCTCGTTTTCGTTGAAGGTGCCACTATTGTTGTGGCCGCAGCCAAACACTACGTTTGGTAGCGTTACCGGCGACCCCTCAGTGGATGCGAAGGTCAGCGTCTCCGTCGCGAGGACTCCCTTCGTCAGGGACGCACTGGCGTATCCGTAGGTGTAGTTGCACGTGTTGGAGGGAGAAGCGCACGAGGTGGTGTCCAGGAGTTGGCACTGCTGGGACGGGCAAGCGACGTCACGGTATGTGGAAGACGATTTCGGGTCGTACTTGGCCCTCGTCTGAGGGTAACACTGATCGCAGGGGAGGCACTGAGTCCAGAAAAGGTCACTGCCGGTGTCGACGATGGCATAGACGTCGTAGGGCGGGGTCCCTATCAACACCTTCAGGACATATTCGCCATTGTCCGGGAAGATATCGGACTGAACCGTGTCAGGATGGAAGGAAGGCGGGACGGCAATGTTCATTTGGAAACGGCCTTGGACCCTGGCAAAGGATCGTCGGAACGCATTGGCATAGCGTTGCGCAGGAGCTTTGCCGGGGTGGCGGATGTGGTCTCGGTGGAAGAGATGGGCGGTGAAACCCCGTCTCGACGATGGTGACCTTGCGGTGGCGGCGCGAATGCTTGTTATGAGTAGAGCGAAAGAGATGAGAAGTAGGCAAGGGAAAGTGAGCTTCTTCATTGCCATTGGACTTTGCTTCAGTTTTGTAAATAACATTAATGAAGGTCCGGTTTGGTCGCCTAACAATAGAGTCTTCTTTCTCAGGAGACTCCAATTTATAAAGTGGTAATGTAACGTCAATATCCATATAAGGAAAGAATGGTGATTTTGTTCCATATATGAACATTTCAATGAATATACTCCTTTAAAAGTGGTTTTGGATTAACATGAGGAACCTAAGATTTATCCATCAAACACGTATGGAAAACTATGCCCTTACATCTGGCGATGTTGATTTCTAATTAATTGCACTACCCTACTAATTGCTATACATGGCTGATCTTCCACGTCTACCCGCAATCTTAAGGATCGAGGGTTTCTGGCCGCACTGCGAATGAAACTCTGCCACCGGGTTATTTATACAAGAGACTGGGCGATCTTCTCTTGATATCATTAGCAAAAAGGGTATACACACGTGGGTGTTGTGGACAGAAAGAGGAAATATCGATAGAGGTAATGAACGTGTAGCCATTTAAGATAGGACAATATAAGAAATATTGGATCCTTCGGGGCGAATGCCCATGAAGGGGAACGGACAGATTCGACGAGAGTTGCATGCAATGAAAAAAGTTGGAAGAAGTGGGTCGGTGGGTACAATACGGGAGAGTGAACTTAAGGGCGCCAATGATAATTTTTCTGTTTCTCTATTTTTTTATTTTTTATTTTTGGGATGAGGTTTGGAACGAAAATCCATTTGACAATACAACATTCATTTTTTTATTTATTTCCGGAACCCGGAAATAGGTTTGAAACGTTTCTATTTCTGGAACGAAAACAGAAATAACAGCTCTTCTTATTGCTCGTCCTTATCGCCTGCCACCCCCTAGGCCGCACCCCCCCCCCCCGCATAGCTACCGGCCGCTCGCTAGGAACAGAAATTTAAGAATAACCTATCAAACGAATTTCTATTCCGGAAACATAAATTTTATGTCGTTGTTAAAAACTTGTCCGGAGAATAGAATTAGAAAAATCTATTTTTTGTTAGTAATTGGGCTGGGAAAGATAATGGTTTTCATTCGTGCCCCAAGCAACCTAATCACGAGGCCCAATCTTTCCAAGTAAATTCATCAGCAGCTTCCTAAGCCGAGTCCATGCGACTCAAAATCTGGCCCAACCTCCTCATCATCATCTCGTTCCCTCAAAAAAAAGCAATCAAGCGCAACCATTTATCGAAAGTCAAACGTAAAACCAAGCCCAAACCAAACAGATATTCCTTTTTGATCTTTGACATCCTGTGTGTCTGAACCCAACCTTTTCTTTCAGCACGGAGCAAAGTCCCGTTGCAGAAGTCGATTGAACTACGTCTGCAACCTGTCCCTCCACCGGTTGGGACCCCCACGGCACTGCACTCCACTGCAAGCGATTTCATCAGGCAGCTATGGAAGTCGTCGGTCGGCCCGTGAAAGGAACTCGAAACGCAAACGCCATTCGGGGAAAATCTGTCTTGAATACGGAAAGCCAGCATGAATTCCGTTAACTGCTGTTCTTTTTTCCTCCTTTCACTTTTGGGTGTCTTCGGGGGAAGGAATGATCTCTCCCCATGTGTGGAAGCGATTCTCACAAACTTGCTACTTCTTATTCGTAGCGAGGGAAGGGCGAGTTTGAATTTAAAAAAAAATATATATATAAAGCAGTTTTGCATTGATCATTTTAAGTATTATTACAACTATCTTTAGTAGGTTCTGCGCATCTGAACAAATTTAACACTCTGCTCTAATTGAAGATGTGCCATCGACGCTAAGTTTGGTAGATCCGTGAAAGAATTATATATATTTTTGTATTGACTTGGGTTAAGATTGACCGAGAACGGAGTTGGACAAATTCAAGCTGGCCAATCTCGCGTGCCCCATCAAATCAAGTCAAGCATGCCTCTCGCCAATCATACGTGTCCCCGGATTCAAAAAGCTGCTATCGTCAAGAAAGACGAAAATAAAGCGGGATGATAAGATATAAAATGGAATGTCGCCATCAAAAGTTGTAAGAAAAAAAATACTAGAGGTTTCGTATAAGAGCGACTGATAACTCGACACGATACGATATAATTTGATATGATAATGAAAAAGGTGGCATGCCCTGTTGCCTAATTACTAATTAGTGTATCCATCACCGTTCCATCCCCCCCGGTCAGGCCGTATTTTCAATTCAACACGGCGATGCTGACTTTCAACTACCGCCTCCTCACCAAAACGGAGAAAACAATTCGGCACGCGAAGGGGGGAGGCAACACACACGCTTTCGCACGACCCCACGGAGGGTAACGGAACGGAACAATTGACACACCCAGCTCCCCCCAAAAGTAACGCCGTCGAGGCCGAGAGAGAGAGAGAGAGAGAGACGTCGTCGTCACAGCATATTCCGTTCCACATTCCCCGATTCCCTAAATTTTTTTTTTTGGTTTTGGGGTCGAATCGATTCCCCAAATCAAACGGGAGATATCGCTCTCGCTCTCCACAGTGATTCCTTTTTTTAATTATATTTTTTTATTTGTCCTTGGATCGTCGCTTCCCTTATTTTAATTCCAATCATCCGCGTGGCGGGACGGTCCGTCAAGTAACGGCGTTGGCGATGGAAACTGGAAAGGGAAAGTTGGGACAGTACCCGTAGAAAATGTAGCCGTACTACGGGGACTGGGGTAGGTGAACCTGGGCGACGACCTTGTATTTGGCAGTTGGCCTCTCTTTCTGTGCGCGATCCGTCGGTATAAAGCGAGGGGCTGCTTCCCATTTGGGCGATCAAACTGCCATCATCTTCTTCTTCTTCTTCTTCTTCATCTTGAGCACGCAGAGAAGCAGAGAGCTTTTGTATGGCCGCCAGCTCGAGGAGTTCTGGGATCGCGGCAATCGGCAAGCGAGTCGTCTCTCAGATCTGGAGCCCCATCAAGCCCCTCCCGCCTCCTTCATCTCTTGCTCTCAGGTCTCTCTCTCTCTCTCTCTCTCTCCTCCTTCCTCTCATGTTCTCCGTTCGACGCGTGTATCTACTTCTCTCCGTCGTAAACTCGTCGGCGACGTTTCATCTTCTTTTGTTTTCAGACGCAAGAAATTCTAAAGTAAGAAACGGATGGCTTGTTGATTTTAGTGTTCCTCAGGCACATAAGCAATCAAAATCCATGTCTATTGGTTTCATTCAGGGTTTCTTCTTCTTCTTTTTCCCCTTCTCTTCCAGTTGGGCCCTGTACAGTTCGAAGAGAAGGTCTCGTGATTGCTTGTTTTTTTTTTTTAGAAACTACGATTATGTGAAGATCTAGGAGTGTGAGCAGGACGAACTGAAAGGCTCCCATGATACTGTTTGGAGGGCAAGGGGGCCTAGATTTCAAGCAAACCTTACCCCTATCTATCGTTGTTGAAGCTGTTCCTAGGGAAAATTACTGTTCCCGGGTATCCAATCGATTAATCCCCCAATCCAGGGAAGCTTAAGTAAACATGAAAGAGTAGGATGAGGGAAAGGGTGGCGGTTCGAAGCAAGATTGTCTAGTTAGCCCACGAATTACAAATGTATGATTAAAAAGGTCGGGCGCGCGCCTCATGGCTATGGCGCTTTTCTTCTAGTATTCAAGCCTCTTTATTTCGGAGGCGTATATGATCCCTGGGCTCCGGGAGGGGGAGATTTAAGAAAAACTACCGCCTTGACCGTTAGCCCAAGTGTCTGAAAGCTTTCTCTGGTACGAGAATGATGCATGATTATTTTCGTATCGTCTCTGTCCTGGCTATGGAGTTACAAATTCCAATCCCCCGTTTCCTGTCTCGAGAACTTATCCCCCAAATTCAACCACAGACCCTAAACCTTTTTCATAATCTCACCATAGAAGTCAAATTAAGATGTCCAGGCCGTTGCGTGATGAATGGCTTGATTCCGTGAGGATCATCAAACCAGTCATTTTGTAATGTTGGAGGGTCAAAAATGGCCTTGCCGAATTGCGAAGTTATCCCCTTACTATAATCATTTTGCTAGAGCGAGTCTCTCAGAAGCGATAAAGAAAGATGGGTACCCACAATATCACCGAAAGCAAGAAATCAAATTGGGTGGGCCATGTCAGCATCCTTAGCTACGTCTGGATATTATCTACACGTAGCGACAGCGAGCTTCACCTATGGGCTTGGATCCTTAAAAAGGAGGAGTCATCATCATCTTATTGTAGTGATTACTGAAGATCGGAGAGCGTGAAGGAGGAGCAACCAATGCTTAAAAAGGATAAGTGGTTGGTCGTGACTAAACAACAAAAATTGGAAGAGGGTTGTTGGGTTTCCCGGTTACAGAGAGACACTTTTGTTTTTGGAAGGCGAATGCGACGTGCCTCCAGAATTCCGCGTGCCTTGGATAGTTTTTGGACTTTGCTTTTGCCTTTTCTGGTCCCCTTTTGTTTTCCTGGAATGTCGACGTGCCTTCCTTCTTTCTCGGTCTAATCTCATACCTGCCAGACTGTACCCGCCAAAGAAACAAGATCTTATCTATCTATTGATGGAAGCAAATAAAACTTTTCCCGTAACCAGAAGATTCAGTCAGTCACCTACCTATATTATCGACCAATTCCCGAGTTTTCATTTTGAGATGGTGTTAATCTAGGTTTATGTGCAATTCAAAGCTTGCATTTGTGTTTTCCATGTTATGTAATATCGGTGCATGTTAGTTAAGCCGATAAGTGATGGGGATTGATGGATCAATGCGAGGTCGTTTTCAGGAGAGCTACTCACTCGTCCGTGTACGACAAAAACCTGGAGGATCAAGTCACACCGAGCGTGGTCCCCGATGAAGTGATCGAGGCTTCATCCGACAAGTACTGGGCTCCACACCCCAAGACCGGGGTGTTTGGGCCCGCGACCGACCTTCACCTCCGAGCCCACGGCGAGCTTCCCAGGCCCGGGAATGCTGAGAGCTCTGTGCTGGAGCACACAGCCTGGTT